GCGAACGATATAATCAAGTAAATCAGGCATGTGCTCAAATTGACTCACTGCATTTAAAAAGTTAGCTGTATAAAGGAGTAGCAAGATTTGCTGCACCACTGAGTTGACTTAACTAATCAATAGTGCTGTGGATTGTGCTAAATGATTACATGTACACGTCGGACAAAAGCACAGCAATGTGAACTTGCTAATGTTAGCGAATATGCAGAGAAAAGGGTTGTGTGTCCACACTTATTCTGTGTGTTGGAATAATCAAAACTGGAGACAAAAGCTTTACCTCAGCTGAGTTTATATTAGTAACATTGGACATCTTTTATTCTTAACGAATGTTAGCTTATTTCATGCACATTTCTAACTCATATCAGGTATGTGAACTAAAAAGTACATCAAAACCATCCATGCACAGTAAAATGTGGAATTAATGCCCATACACAAAGCAGTCCTTTTAAGAACTAAAGTAACTCGTATTTTCAGAGGTTTTACATCAGCTCAAACGGACTGGTTGTAGTAGAACTACTTGTAACAGTTATTCTTCATAATTCATGTTGCGCAAACCGTGTGCCCCTATGTTGGGTTGTTAAAAGTGCATATAGGCCCAGAGTTGTTTTAAAACAACATTAAAACATATTTTAGCACGTGCTGTTGCGACCTTTCGGGCTGTGACATCGATTTTACTCGTCGGTCTCGCGCAGTATGCGAATTTATTCCAGATTTAATAGTGTTGGCAAAAGATTCACCACTGTCTTCATGAAAATCATCTAGATATTTTCTTCCAACATTCTTGCTTCCAAATAACTCTGCTATCTAGATGTTATAGACAAGAACAGCCAGGCACCAGATGACTAGTTAAAAACTACTGGACGATTTTTTATCTTAAAATGTCTTGTTGCATTGGTAGCTCGGGTCGATCGATATTGGTCGCACATGTTCGCCGATCTTCGTAATTGGCTTGCAAACATTTCGTCACCAAATGTGGTGACTTCCTACGTGCACTATTGGGTCAGATGCAATCCGCTGATTTATCGTCGATTTGTGATCAACCAGCAGGTGACTTCTGGATTTACATCCTCGCTCTGTGCTCCGTGACCTTCACCTGCGTGCCCAAGTTCTTTGATGCTCATAGACAATCTGCGATACGCTTTTGTTCTGGTTGTTGCAGTTGTGTTGTTGATGGCTCCTTTCTTTGCCCATGACGGTTGTTAGATGTTTTAGTTCTCTCTAGGTTAACATTTGGTAAACTGGGTCAATGCTAATGTGTATGCTTATCAAGGGCATCGTCGACTACCACGCTTCGAGGAACTCTCTTCATTTTTGTGTTTCTCCTTGTGCTAGGACCTCTGCATTGTGCTAACCGAAATGATGGTCTTCTTCGTCCGTAGATAATGGAACCAGAGAGCGTAGTGGTTATTACATACTCTCCTATGCCCTTGTATTCTTGTTGACAACCGCCTGCCTATCTGAACCACATAGTTTGTATCGCAATATTGACACCGCTACTTGTAAACCACACATTGTCTTTCGTGGGTTCCAGGTCTAGTTTTGGGTTTCGACAACGCTGTCCTCAAATGAATAGTTGGTTTGTAAGTCATTGTAAGACCAAGCTGATAAAATAATTTTGCTGTCGTCTCGGAGAGGTTCTTTAAAAAAGGTGGAATAATTCTCTTTGTTATTGTTTGAACAGGGTGAGATGTCATAGCTTCGTTGTCCGGACACTGCCGGACTAAGGCATGTGAAGATCCGGATCTAGATGAAACGACCAGAACCGAAAAACCACTACTTTTCTCTTTGCTTTAAGGGTGAAACAATGTGTTTCAATTTTATGAAAAAGAGTTCGCCCGCAACTTATTTCTTGACATTTCGGGTGATTGCTATAGTGGTTTATAGTCTGGTCGGTGTGTTTGTTTTCTTGTAAACCGATGTTCGCAACCCTCCGGCAGTCGTTCTAGTGACCAACAAATCCAAGAATGAGACCTGGTTTCCTATCTTACTCGGTATTGCTCAGCAGTAGTCGAATTTAAAGCTCATAATAACTAGCCAAACTAAATATCCACTTGATATTAATCTTTTGCATCCAACCAAGCTATCATCGTTTGACACCCCACCATTGTTACCGCGCCTCAAGCTTTCCAACTAGCAGCCAGTAAGTGCACGCGCTTATTTCTTACAAAATCCTTAGATCGGTACAAAAGCAGACTTGGCACGTGTGCGCCTCCTTACAGACGTTTCAAAAGGTAGGTCCTAGCTACTGAAATACTGTGGGTCTTATGGTAGTTTATGCTTGTTAAGGAAGATGCACAGTACTCATGTGGTATGGTTTGGTTAATTGCACGCAATTTCATGCTAATTAGGAAAAGTGATATCCGGGTGTGCCAGAAGCACTTCAATTCAAGGAGAATGAACGTACTAACTCTTTCGACGTCCACAGTAGGCGTCAGCACAAAAGTTTTTCAGACAACTGACAAGTAAAGTCAGTTCACTAAATCAGTGTGTCACAAATAGCTGTGTTATCTGGTTTTGTAGGCGTTTTTATAGAACCTACACTAACCATGGTTATTCGATATGAATAGCCCATCGCAATGAGGCTGGACCTTACCGTGGTGCGATGGTTCGTGTGCCTCAGCGATCCATTGAGCTACGCTGGGTGGTGCTTTTGCACCTTCAGAGTCACTCATACCAGATTGGTCAATGGTTAGAGGCCAGACAAACTCAGCCTCCTGGTCCTCCAGGTTGGGGGTTGGAATGAGGTTCAGAAATTCAATTACCTGGGAAGTTGTATCAGCGCCCTTGGGATCGAAGACGAGATCACGAACCGCATAGCGAAAGCTCGAAGTGCTTTTGCTAACCTTCGCCACCTCTGGCGACGGCGCGACATTACTCTCGCCCTGAAGGGTAGAGTGTACAATGCAGCGGTACGTTCGACCTTACTGTACGGCTGCGAAACCTGGCCCCTAAGATCGGCGGACATGAAGAGGCTACTTACGTTCGACCATCGGTGCCTTCGCAGTTTGGCTCACATCTGGTGGGAACACCGCGTGAGTAACGAGCGTGTTCGACGCCTTGTTTACGGCCTAGGAAAAGGGAATGAACCGCTCAGCACCGTCATTTCACTCACCAGGCTCCGATGGCTGGGCCACGTATTGCGCATGCCAGCCCACTGACTCCCTCGACGTGCGTTGTTTGCTCACCAGGAATGTGGGTGGAAGAAGAGGAGAGGTGGCCAAGCGATGACTTGGTCCAGAGGAATGAAGGCCCTCACTTCGGAGCTGGCCTCAGTTGGAGCTTCACGACTCCCTGGTTGGGGTCCAAAAGACGGTGAACACGTTTGGCTGGATACACTTGCTGATATGGCAAGGAGCCGACCTCAGTGGCGTTCCTGCTGTGAGTTTCTTTGTCCCTCCCCATCCCTTTAGCCTCCCCCTCCACCTACGATCTTATCTCATAGCGTAAAACATAATAATTTTTTCTTTTTGCCTAGTAGCCGGCTGGTAGCTTACCGGAACGATGCCTATCCGTTGCTGGTAGTTCAGCTGGCATTCAACTGTCGTATTTATTTTTCCTTTATGTATTGTATGTATGTATGTATTTCCTTTATGTATTGCGGTACAATAGCGGAGGTGTTTTACCATCTCTAGCTGACATGTATAATGATGATGGTGATGATGATATGAATAGCCGGTTGTCGTCGATTACTTTTTCTACTATTGTTCTCTTCCACTTGTTATACCTCTGATTGCTGCAGTTCAGTGCTCCGGCATTTCACAAATTTTTAAGTCAAAAATCATCGTATCAAAAGCGTACAACCTGAAAACACACTAAATCGCGCCGGTAAGCACCCATGGTAGACAAAATCATATAAGACCACTTTTTTCACTGTGGCAATGAAGTAGGCGATAATATTGTTGTAACGAACATACAAATGGTATAATTACGATAAAATTTATCCAAGTTAAATGCATTAGTTTAATCCAGGCAATAGCTAATGTGGTGCTCATTCGTAAGGGTGACTTACACTAGTATAAAGCATTTACTTACTTCTGTATGCTTGTAACTTCGTATGTAGCAATTCGGCCTCGGCCATTTCATCACGATAACATAGTTCTAATACATCTATCATGACATAGGTGCCCATATATATTTGAGTTATATCGTTTGTTGTTTAGAAAATATACACTGAACACGTTTTACTTCTCCACAAAATTACACTCCCGTCCAGGACCGGTGCTTAGCTAAAAAGGAAAACTAATGAGTTTTGATCGCCTAAGTTTAGATTCACAAACCACTTCTAATAAACTGACGTGTATTCTTCAATTGAATTAGCCTTTTCTGTTAATGTATATACTTAAAATAACCGACGTGCAGCCAAAGTCTTTGAGGAGACGCAACTTTTTTACCAGTATGGTTAAAGGTCACGATTTCATAGTCTTTTCAGATAACCCGAATTTGCACGAACATAGTATTTATGAATTAATAGTGTAAAAGAAACCTGTGTGTCTTCAAGCGTGGAAGGTTTCATGAGACTCGGTTGAGGTTTCCGCATACCGCGCACTGATCGAATTAGCAGGACAGGTACTAACACGTGTAATGATAGAGCACAAGCACAAGGCCGCGTCTTGGTTCCTAATTGGCTTCTTTGTGAATAAGTTACTTCAGCCCTGGAGCATGACATTTATCTTTCAAGGGATGGTCAATGGACGCGGTATATTGCGGGCAGTTACTCTGATGCTCTGAAAAAAGGTGGTCTACATAAACCCTAGATTGTTGGAAAATAGGTGCAGTCACTCGTAAACAACTGTGGCTATTCCGAATTAATCAAATATATTTTTATTAAAGTATAACCTCAAAACAACGGTAACATTCAAACAACGTGTACGTGGTGCTTTATAAACCGTTAGTTGTAAGATCCTAGCACACGTTCAAAACTTTAACTGTCCAGAATTATTGTACGAAGAAGTGATTTCTCAAAAGCGCACAGCTGAAAACTGACATATAATTGGACTCACTTTGGTAACCAAAACCCTCACCATGTTTTGTATCTACTCAATAACTCATGCCGTTGTTGTAGAACTCGGATTGATTTATAGCCTAACCGCTTTGGTAAAGCGATGAATGTTACCTGCTATTGGTTGAACTACAATTCCATCAATAGCGCGTTGCTAACGTTGTCCTTTTACCAGGCAGCACGTTTTAGAGGCGACACAGAAAGAATCACGTGTTTGAGTCAATCAAATAGTTGGAATTAAAATGTCTACTAGCTGGCAGCAACCCATTAGGTCATATGGCTGTGCAGTGAATATCCATTCTGCTGCGGGTACATGGTATTAAGTATATAGCCAGTGTGTAGAAAACATGACTTATCGCATGTGAGGTATGATCTTAAAGCATACTGCATTTAGGCGAAAAGTAAAGTTGCAATCAAGTGCGCATTCTTGAACCGCCTTGCAAATGATGGAACTGATTAAGACACGATGTGTTGCATCAAAGAAGAGCACATGTGTTAACGGTTTCCTGATTCATTAATGTTAGAAAAAATACCATAGGTTAACAAATATTAAAATGCGTATTATGACGCACAAAATTGCTGTGTTTCATCTAATGCATACTTGTAAACCGAACTAACAGCGCATCAGCTAACATTTGGGGATATTATTCGGGGTTTTGACGGAACTCGCTATTCGGAAGGCAGGCTGCTTGCTTATAATTAGAACCGGTGGAAAATGTGTGAGTGTTAAACATGCTTACCTTTGCTTCGAACATACATAACCGTGTGGCAGGCTGCCATAACCAAAATGTTTACTTAATATTCCGGAGGATAAATGATTTTGAGTTGCTGGAAAACACCAGATTAAGGCAACCAAATGTTTTGTATGAGTAATCTGTGAGTCGATACACATCATATAAGGCTTAAATATAAAGACGGAGCATATTAACTAATGGAAGCGACATCTCCCAAAATTCGGGAGTAGATAACTAGCAATTTAGACTGTACTGCATTTATTTGTGGTCACGGCAGGTAAGTAACTTTAGTTTGTTTAACGCAGAAGTAGTGTAACGGATTAACTGGTTTAGATGCAGTCTGTTGAGAAGACGAGTCGAAATGATAAAGCCGCCATTGGCGTTTCTCGGATCCGGTTCCCAGCAAATATACACACATGTTAAAACCTGATTTCCGACATCCATTTTCATCTGTCTCGCAAACATTGTACATTATTGTTTCATCTTGGGTAGACAACACATATTAAGCTTGACGTAGTGTTGACTAACCAGTAGTATTGGCTGTTCAACCAATGCTTTCTTCAAACTAAGTTACGGTAAATCGCTGAAACACAATATTTATTTGAAACAACGTGTTGTACAGAATTAGTCCCGAGATATTAACACAGAATAGGGCAATAACAAACGATCCACTTCTATTGGGCAAATAATTGGAAGGCGTAAATGCTGCACTTCCACACAGAGAGAGTATTTAGCTATCAACTGGAGCTACTTTTCCAGTTACTGAAAGAAGTGCATTGATATCCACACAACAACTTCATTTATGCAAGGTTTTCGGAAAATCTTCGTAGCGCATCTTATTCTGCTGCAAACTGTGTGATGTGATATTCGGAAAATTCTAGCGTGTTTGGATTACCCGCCGTAACCCAGCCTGCATACATTCATTAGGTAAGGCTGCACGTGTTCCTTCCAACGCGCAGCTTACATCGAATCGACGCATTACAGCCTACTATCTCCCGTTGGTTTTTACATTTTACGTTTTCCCTGTGGAGGTATGGAAAAGAAATTTCTTTCTGTTTGCATCCTACACCACAAATTGTGACCGCTTTGGAAGCCTGACATAAGGGCTCTCTAACAACTACACAACTGCTTTCATCGGTAACCGCATAAGGCAGATACAGGCGGGAATATAAGAGATACACGCTAATCTTTCAATTGTGTCGCAGTCACTGACTGCCATCTGAAATCAATCCACTGGCCCACTCCAGGCGGCGCTCTGACTGGATCGATAGCCTATGCTTCGTTTCAAGACCAGTCTGCATTCACGTACAACAGCTTGGCACCTGTCCCGAGGATCATCAGGAACGCTCGTGCTGACCAGACTGCTAACAGGTGTGTCGTTGGAACACTGGAATTCGTGGGCGGATCTCATTTCCACAGTAACAGCGTATGCAACTCAGAGGCGGAGATGCAAATAACGCACTGAGGTGCGTACTTTTTGTTCCTAAATAAATCGCCCATTTTCCGGGAGTTACCATTTTTACCAATATTATATTAGAGATCTTCCCTTCTCTCTTCTGATATTTGAATCCACCCATGGTCCCTCTGTAGGCGCAGGCATCCTGTGGCTGGTCACAGTGACAAGCAAATCCGAAACCGGATGCGGCCAACCATGTATATATATATATATATATATATATATATATATATATATATATATATATATATATATATATATATACGAATCACAATCTGTGTACATACCTGGTGCCATCGAAACCCTGGCGGAATAGGAAAACTGGATTAGATTAAATGAAGAAAGAATACAAAGATATTTTTTATCCATTTTTCCACTCACAGTTTTTGAGTTTTTGTTGTTTTTTATTAGTGGAGGGAAGAGGATGATCCATCCGTGGTTCGTCAGTAGGTGGGATACTACCCGATTACCCAGACCGAAGTAGAGGGTTGTCTTAGGAGGCCCAATCCCGAGCCTTTGATCCAGGACCTAACCTACAAGGCAACAGAGCGATATGAGGTTATCGCAACCCGTTGGCTGCAGGTGACAAAACAAGTGGTTCATACGCCTTTAGATCCCCATAGAACCAGGGGCCCAACACACCCTTAGTTTACAATGCCAATCAGAGAGTGGCAGGGGATAGTGAGTTTATTTAGTGGCGTGTCATATCCGCCACGTCACAGTGTTGTTAAGTAGACATATTTGGCTTTTATAGGGAGGACGCTTGCTAGGCGAAAACCCAACACGTTCTGGAACACTGCAGCCGAACCATTCGCTGGAACAGGATAATCCCGGGCCACCCAGCTGGCACCACGAGGAGGTTGTTCGACAAGGCAGCCTAACGGTAACGAGATTGTTTCGTAATCATGCAGTGCGAGTTCGAATCTGCGTAGAGGTGGGCGTCCCCACGGTATACTGAGCCCGCGTGCGACTGGTGGTGGTCGCACATCAGCGAAGCGTCGTTACGCCATACAGCTGGCACATTACTTATTCGCGCCAATTAGTACGTCATCGGGGTATTTTAAGATTATGGCTTCATCAGGGACAGGGACGGAAGCAACGAGGGTAGAGAATAAGAATGGCGACAAAATGACTCCTTGAAGTACATCGGAATTGCTTGTAAGAGGCAAGGAGCTCCTACCGTAGAACCTGTTTATCTGAGTCCGTAGGGCAAAATGATCCTGTAGCTAGAAGGTCGTGGATGGTTATATACCAGAAGACAGGAGACCTTGCAACAAGATTCCAAGGTTAATACAACCGAAGACGGTGGTGTAGTCAAGGACGCATGTGCGTGTGGCTTTGGTCTTGTCGTCTAGCGACGATAGCTCTGAGTGCACTAGACAAGTCATTGTGTCGATGTCGACCTTCGGTATACAAATTGACGTCTGTCCCACAACTAGTTAACCATTTTTGGAAACAACAGGTTTAGGAGAAACCAGCCTATTCATAGAGGTGTTAACTGTGAAATTTATCAGAAAAAGTCACTCGCAGCAGCAACGTTCGAGAATCTAGCGCTGAACGGTGTCCAGGAGTCACCATGTCTTATGATATAAGTTAATAAGCAGCAGCTGCTTATGGGATTTATATACAGTGCGCCAAACTGCGGATAGGAAGACTCAGAACTTTTGAGGCTCGTATTTTAATGCGCCACTAGCCGACCATTTATACCTAAGATTATCCCATGTGATTTCAATCTGTCGTCGATTTCATGGCAGTTGGGAACTGCTCCGTTGAAATGCCAAAATCTTACCTCCTGTATCCAAATGAATGGCTGGCAGCAACACCTCTCCCAATCTATCAGAGGTGAAAGTACTCTGGATCTCATTTTCATTGGGCACACCTGCAATCAGTGTTAACGCTCTTGCTAAATTTGCTGAAAGAGATCATGGCGTGAATAACTGCCTCCTAAGACTACGCATAGCCGAGGCACAGAACCCAATGCATTATCGTCTGTTCAGTTCCGTCAACTGGGTTTCTTTCAAATACCTGGTTCATTCGATGAATTGGGATAGCTACTTCCTCTCTTCATGTCCTAAACAAGCGACGAACCAGTTTTATAATGCAATTGGCTTCTGCATCGATTCAAAGCTACTACTGAAAAGTGCTTACCAAACTAAACAAAATCTGATCGCAAAACCTCCAGGATAGAATGAAAGCTGTATAAAATTCGGCGGAAATTCAGGTTAACTGCTGACTTTACGCTGTTATTACAGCAGTCCAAGAATATCGAAGAATAGATGCACTAAAACCTTAACCCTCCCGTTCTAGTAGAGTATAAAGCTCTGGACAGACTTAGCAAACCAGCTGAACTAGTCAAACTGTTCCGCGCCCGGGATCGTCATCGCAGCAGCAAGTTCAATTTTATCATGGCGCCTGAAGGAACATACCTCGATGCACCAGGTGATATCTGCGAAGCTTTCAATGTTTATTTTACTGCAGCAATGGTCATCGGATCGTCAGATACACCGAAATTTATCACGCCGCACAACAGTGAAATTCTGTGCACAGTGGAACACACTGTAGCAAAAATCACTTTTCAAATCGCTTGCATGTGCTCCCCAACCTGCGCTGCACCTGATTGGCTCTCCCTTGGTTAATAAAAAGCAGTAGTAGTGACTTCCTTCTGCTTTTGCTTAACATCTTTACACTCTCTTTTAATAACGGAGTATGTCGTACTCAATGGAATATTTCTGTCGTTTTCCAGCGGCACAAAAGTGGCGTCGCCCAGGAGGTTAAAAAATTTCATTCCATCTATCACACGCCCATCTTATCCAGAATACTGCAAAGGATAATGAATGATGAACTATTGATATTTTTGTAGAAGTCTAACATCACCAGCAATTCGCAGCACGGCTTCATGCAAGATAGATCCTGTGTAACTTGCCAGACATATTTTTAAACCACA